AGCCACTGCTCTTAACCTCTGAGCCATCTTTCTAGTCCCCCCCCCCCCGGGAGTGATTTTTATATCAAGGAAATCATGTTTTTCTCCAAGAATTAAGACCCTCATCTTTTCGTGAACCTGTCTAGTCATCGACACAGTCTCATGGATGCCCTTCTACCGTGGTCGTTTTACTTTGTTAAAAAAGGCCAAACATGCAGCGATCCACTACCTCCCCCTCCCCCAAAATCGTAACCTTGGAAGAGGTGGTGAAGCATGTGTGGCTTGTTAGCAAGCTTCTTAGCCATGCTAGCCATCGCTGCCTCTCATGGAAGGTGGGTCAGAGCGCACCGTTCTGAGTCACTCTCCTGTCGCTGACACCACGGAGGGTAAGTCATGCAGAACCCTAACTGGAGTCCCGGAGGAGTGGAGCGACAGGGGTGTCTGCAGCTTCAGGTAAGCCGATAAGCATCGGAAGCATCAGAGGGCCTTCGTCATAACACCCATAGGCATCCCGAGGATTCCTAAACCTTCCTTCCCAATGCCGAGTTCAGCTGCAGAAAGCCCTGGCAAATCAACCTGCCGCCTGCTCTGGCACATGCTCCTTCAGGGGTCGGGGGGGGGAGGAAGCAGGATTCTAGCCTACAAAAGGCAAAGCAGAGAGGAGGGGGAGGGGATGAGGCAGCAAACCTAGGAAATGGAAAGCGATGAAGCAGATCTCGGTTATACAAAGGGGGAAAAAAACAAACCCAAAACCAAAAAAAAAAAAAAAAAAAAAAAAAAAGACAGATACATATATATACCTCAGTTGCTCTATTCACCACCATCTAGGTTAACACATTGGGAGGCAAAGAGGAGGAAAAAATGAACGGTTAGTTCACTCGGTGACATGGACGGCGGGAAGCTCATGACGGCTACGGGATGAAGATGAAAGCTAGGATGGAAAGGGAATCGGGTGCAGGGAGAAAGCTAGACTCCACAAAGGACGGCTGGTTACACAGAGACCTGCTCCGTTGCCCCATTGCCCCCACATAGACTTCCAAGCAAGACAATAGCAGTCTTCGGCTGTGGCTCTTTTTCTGCGGCATGCTTTCCACAGCTCCGCTGCCCCGGCAGCGCTGCCTACCGCTGTAGAGGTCAAACCCTTGAAAGTTCGTGCTCACTATCACTAGCGTTTTTTGTAACTTGGCCCGGATGCTTGAGCTGCGCGGTTCAATACATTCCTTTTGTGATATGGAAAGGAAGGAGACTGTAAGTGCGTGGAAGTCCTTTTTCTTTGGAGGTGACCTCCCTGTTAGCATGCATAAGGCGACATGGACAGCATTCTCTGGCTTCTCAGGTTGAGGCAGGGAGTGACTGCATTGGCTGGCATAGACACACACTCTCATTCCTTTTACTGAAGTCCTATTTTTGGCACAAGCCTGCCGGGAGGGAGCCGGGGTGTCCCTGAAGGTTGCCCGCCTGACCTAAGGCAGGGATGGGAAAGGCTGGGGTGCTCTGGGCCCTACCTTGGACTCCACGTCAGCGTTGTTGTCATTTTGCAGGAGCAGAGCCGCCGCCTTCGTGTCATCTTTCCGGGCTGCAATGTGGAGGGCTGGGAGTCGCACTTTTCCCTTCGTGTCATTTTCCAGCAGGAGTGACACAACTTGGTCATGACCTTGTTGCAGAGCTACAGCCAATGGTGTGAAGCCGTCCTGCAAACGGAAGAACAGGTCAAGCTTGGTCAAGCGGGTACCTTCTTATCAAGTCACGACGCAATGGGATGGCCACGTTATTGTTTAGGGTTTTCGATGCTGACAGCAGATTTAAAAGCACATAAGCATATACCCGTTACTTATATACTTTTATAATTACACATGTATATGTACTCAAAGAAGAAGAAATTTTTTTGGTTTTTGTTTTTTTTTCTCAAAGGCTATTAATCATAGATGAATTGAAAAAAAAATTGGGATGATGTCCAAATGTCAGTATATATAAAACTATCTTTATGAGACAGTATCTAAGTTAAATCTAGGCAGGGTTTTCCAAGGAGATTTTTAAATGAGTTGTAAACTTTCTCATTGATTCTTTAAAGATGGGGTAAGTATTCATTACAAACTAGTCTATGTTTGGAGGAAAGCGATGAGTAGAACTTGGCCATTACCACTTCAAGAAAGGTCTATGGGATAGGCTCTTGGCTTCTTTAGCCAGTGAGAGGAAATAAGCAGCCATCATGCAGTACCTGACTTTAATAATTTGTTATCATAACTGCATGTATTTATAGGGACAATATGATGTTACAATTTATGAATACAGTGGAATAATGAATTTAAGTTAGTAAGCATATGTATCACCTCAAATGCCTTTTGTTGTTTTTGCTATTTGAGACTGGTTCTCTTTGTGTAATAGCCCTGGCTGTCCTGGACTTGCTTTGTAGACCTGGCTGGCCTCAAATTCACAGAGATCTGCCTGCCTCGGCCTCCTGAGTGCTGGGATTAAAGGTATGTGCCACCACGCTCAGTGTCAAATGACTAAGATTTTTATGGTGAGAGCTTTAGAAATTTGTTCTGCCAGCCACTCTGATCTACCCAACATGCTCTAACTACAATCACCATGCCATGCAGCAGATCCCCACAGGCCTTAATCCTTCTGTATGGCACTTTGGCTTTTTGCCCAATACGTCCCAGTGTTCCTCACTGCTGAGCTGAGGGGGGCCTCTGCTTCCGGGAGTTCAGTGAAATGGAATGTCAGACTATATCTGCATATTCATGGACATTCTGCACACTTTGTGTCTACCCTTGGAACACGACAAAGAGGAGACAGCTACAGATTCCACGGAGGTTCAGTAAATCATGGAGTAGTGCTGCTGATTGGAGTGTGAACACATAGGACAAAACACCCTTTGAATGGCTCACGTGGCACTTCCACCATGATTTCATCTCTGTATACCGGAAGGAACACTAAAAATGACTTTTACTAGGGAAAGAGATGATGTTCTCCATTTCCCATCATTTTTACTGTGGTTGCCGTTATTTCTGTAGTCCTCTGGCACAAATATGTCAATAAAGCATCAGTGGGGCAGAGGAGGGAACTATGCGTATGAATGCTAAGGGCTTGTTGGTACTCCAAAGACTTCCATCATTCACTCCTTTGCTAGAAAATTGATAAATGCCTCCTCCATCCTTGCTGGACTGAATACAAACCACCACATTCATATTCAAGAATGTCGGAAATATCAGACAAAGCCTGTAAGGGACGATTCTGCTCAGTTTGTTCCTATATGGATACCATCCATGAGTTTCCCCGCTAACTGTGGGTGTGTGCAGCATTTCCTACTAGGTACCTCCATTCCTGAGATGACCTCTCCCTCCTCTCTGTATTCAGTTCCCACCTCTATGCACTTTTCTACAGGACCTGGCTACCTGTTTCTCTCAACTCTACTATCCAAGAAAATAAGAAAGAAAAGGACACTTCTATCATTTTCAGTGAGGCAGGACAGAAGCAGGAGGTGAGCAAGATGGAATCACAGCTTCCCCCTTCTGCATGCGAAGTATAGACTGCATCATAACATAATTCAAAAAGATTGCTTCTTATATACGTGAGTGGCCTCCAACATTCATTTTCATAAAGATAAACATCCAAGTGTACTCATCGGTACAAAGGTATGATGAATGAACCATGCATTATCTCTAGAGAGATAACAGAAAAACCCTCTGAAGAGTCAACTCTGCACCTCACTTAAAAAAAAAAACCCTGAAGCAGGATAAGAGTAGGACTGACAGCCTAGGTCTGTTTGAGTCATAATGAACAGCTCTGTCTTCACTAGTGCAAACTGTAAAGCTTTAGAGCCCATGCATCAGGAAATACTTTGCATTAGAAACACACAGCAGATAATGAGATCAGCACCAATTAGAACCTGCTTCTAGCAGAAGCCAGTGACGGACCCAGTGACCCCCACTCTTGAGATGTTAATTGCTAAACTCAGCAGCTCTGGTTTTGGTTCTATTTGGTCTGTTCGAGTAGAGGGCCCAGCCTCTTGCGGGCAGATGGGTTGTATAAGCAAGCTAGCTGAGCAAGCCCTGGGGAGCAAGCCAGTTATCAGCTTTTCTCTGTGGCCTTTGATTCCACTCCGATCTTCAAGTTCCTGCCCTGACTTTCTCCATGATGGACTTATAACCTGTGCAGAGGAACAAACCCTTTCCTCCCTAGTTTGCTTTCGGCTATGGTCTTCATCGCAGAAAGGAGAACAAAACAAAACAAAGGCAAAGTTAAACTAGTAAAATAAAATACTTACTACTCCCTTATTTTTTAAAGATATATTTACTTTATGTGTATTGCCTGCTTTGTTTGCACATAGATAGAATGAAACGTTATGCATGCAGAGCCCAGACAGGCCAGCAAAGAGCATCCGATCCTTTGAAACTGGAGTCAGAGATATCTGTGAGTCACCCACAGTGGCCAGTGGCATTGAACCCTCAGCCACCTCTTCAGTTCCCAGTAACTATGTCTTAACTGGATTTAAGAATATTCTCAGATACTATATTCATTCTCAGGATGAATGCCCAACAGCATGGAAGGGTATAAAGTGAGAAGTGAGGCAGCAGTAAAAAGGTGCTTTGGGCGTATTGCTCTTTCAGGACGTGTGGTATTGCTCGTTTTCAATAATGCTGGGTAGCGTACTATCAGATAGGCATACCGATATTTACCGCTGGCTGCTCCATCAGTACATATTTAGGCACTGTTCAGTTTTTGGAAACTGTTAATATTAATTACACCAACAGTCCCGCATGCTATTTTTAAATCTTCTCTAATGTATCTGTAGCATCCAGTCTTGCCGGCAAATGACATAAGCATTAACTTTTGGGAAGGCCCTGGCTGCTCAGCACAAGTGTTGCACCGCTTCTCAATGTCAACAACAAAATAATTTATTAATATTTATATTTAATAATAAAACATAATAAACAAATAATTAAATAACATTTATTATTCAGTACTAATAAAATTCTGGTGCCCTCCCCATAATGTTTTCCCCTTTAAACTCAAGGTCTAAAGAGTGGATTTTCTTCTTCACCTGATTAGAGTTCACGTCCCATTGGTCATTGTCTGTCTTTCTTTAGGAACTGTCTCGTCATTCATTTGCTGGTTTTTCAGGAAGGAATGATCTCAAAAGCTCGGTAAGGAAATATCTAGTCTCTTGTCATTTCTTCCTGTTCCCCTTAGCAGCCACACCGGCCTCCTGGCCAGAGTGGTGGCTTTGTGGTGAGCTAGACACTATCCCCTAGCATTCATCATTGAAATTAAAAATGAAGAATGTGCAAGTATCAGTTCTTTACTACGAGAAAGAGATTGAGTGACACACTTAATCAGTGATGACAGTGCCCGTAGACAGACTAAAAACTTACATTTCCTAAAACAGTACCAAAGGCTTAAATCACCTTTTATTTTTTTAAAGTAATTCTTCTATTCAAGACTGTAGAAGATAGTCTCCTCACCCCCACACAAATACTGCTGTTATTTGGTAGCTAAACATGTGTAATAGTTTTATTTGGAAATATAAAGTATTAAATATAATTAGTTAACTTTATATATATGTATATTCATTCAATTATCATAATTAGCCTAACACTAATCTGAAAAAAACTACACATTTACAGTTAATATTCATTAAAATGATATTTCAAAACAATGGTTTCCTTGGAGGCAAGATTATTAAGAAACAAAAATTATTATTAATAAGACATGTTAAAAATTAAAATGGTAGCTTAATCATAGGGTAGACCGGGCACTTGAGCAGATAAAGAATATCTGTGCGATGAGAGAATTCTTAAAGATTAAAAATAGAGTTTCTAGGGCATCTTATAAAAGAGCTAACACGTTAAGCACTCAACAGCAACAGCCACTGAAATCCTAGTGAGAAAGTTCTCAACTCTAGGCTTACCAAAAGCCCTTTGACCACATGAACGAAACTATGGAAGAACGGATAGTGCTCACCTCTGTGGCCAGGCTCTGGCTGGCACCATTGTCCAGAAGAAACCTGACGACCTCCAGGTGGTTCTCCTGGGCCGCCATGTACAACGGCGTGAAGCCATTCTGCAAAAGAAGAAGCAAGAACCGTGTGGGCCGCTTTGCCAAGCTAGTACTGAGCATGTTTGTTCCAAGCAGCGCTCACATAAAATGACTTCTAGAATCCTCCCTTCGTTGTAAGCATTCATAGTCATCAGGGAACGGAGCGTGGCAGCCTATACCATGCTCATGATTTAAATGTGATTCGTGATCATAATCACAGTTAGACTGCTCATCACATAAGGATATAGAGTATTCATAGTCAGTAGTCTTAAAAAAAACTTATAGCAATTTACGCACCGTAGGCAAACAAGCATATACATGTATCATGAACCGTGTTGCGGTATTACCATGAATAAAATATTTTACTAGCTGTTACAAGGATACAGAAGAGAATGTATTCAGCTGTTATCTTCCAAGCATCAATCATCTCTTGCAAATAAAGATGTACTATTTTCATATAAAAGTAGGCATTTCAAACAGTTCCAGCTTGGGAAGGAAATTATTTTAACCTCAAATTACTTCAAATACATGCCAGATGTGATTTCACAGATCAAAGAAAGGAAAGCTCATATGCGAAATAGCATGGCTGAGTATAACTGCTTCCTACCACAGCTGTCCCACTTCCTTTTCTTGGAGACAAGGTCTCATGTACCCTAGGTTGGCGTAGAATCTACTAAATAGATGAGGCTAGCCTTGAACTACCCATTTTCTACCTCCTGGGTGTTGGGGTCACGTACACGCCATCCCACTGTGCCTGGCTACCTCTTTTGTTGTGGGCTTGCCTTTCTGGCACTAGTACCTGAGGAACCGGTCTTTTTCAAAAGTCACATTCCTGTTCGCTTTTTGATTCCTAAAAATACTTGCTTATTGACACTTGATTCTTATTGTATAAAGCTCATTCTTATACAGTTTAGTAGGGACTGTGTACTCACAGAACTGGGACAATAGCAGCCCCACTAAGCCCTCATCCTGCACCTGTTGGTACCAGCATCTGCCTTTTTCTGTAACCTTGGCAACCGTCCACCTCTGCTCTGTTTCTATGGCTATGTTTACTTTGGACATTTCATATAAATGAGATCACACAGTATGTAGCCCTAAGGGTATTAATGCTCTTTTTGCTATCCATGCTGATAAAATGTTTTTGTGCTTCTCTCTCTCTTTGTCTCTCTCTCTCAAGAATGTTACAGTTTTAATATCAAATGTCCCCTCAGGGGTTATGGTGGAAGAGTTGGTTCCTATTTAAATGTTTGGAGGGTTCCGAGAAGTGATTGGATCATAAGAGCTCTTATGTAATCAACTGATGAACTCATTAGAGATTTGTTTTGATGGCGTTCTTGGGAGGTGGTGGGAAGTCTCGGGGTAGGGGCTGGTGAGAGGAAGAGGAAGCAGGTCATCAGAAGGGGTTCCTTCGCCTCTTTCTCATTTCCTTCTGCTTTATAGCCACCTTGAGGTGAGCAGCTGGGTTCAGTCACAGGTGGTCTGGCATGAAGTTTTGCCTAGTTTCAGCGTCCCTAAACAATACTCTAGCAATTATGAGCCCAGCTAAACTTCTATTTATTTTTCACGTACGACATCGTGGTATAATGAAAACTATCTCACCCAATGTACCTTCTGATTTTAAAGTAAGCATTTGATATGCGCATTTTAGTTTGCCTTAGTGATGGTCAATCGCACTCATCCATTTCTCCCTTGGCTGACAATGTCTTGTTTATCTTGTCTTGATGAATTTCTCTTCCCTGCTCTGTAGGCAGGACTTATGTTGGCTGGACACTGAGATAGATGGGCCTGTTCCTTCCTTCCTAATGATGGTATAGACCAGTGCCTTTTAATCTTCTCTCCTGAACTGTGTCCTCACCAGTCCCCATTCCCAACCTCCAGGGATGGAATCAAAAGGCTCTTTACTTTTGGACTCTGGCAGGGTTCTCCTGCCCTCCACTGTTTATTTTCCAGAACTTTCTGTCTCCTCGTTAGCCTTCTGCTCTCAGCCCCAATACAAAGCCAATAAAGTCTTTGGAAATTTCTTATGCTGAAGTTCATTTTTGCTCCTTTAATTCAAATATCTTCAATTCCTATGTATTATTTTATATTTTAATATATTAAATCATAATTATTATATATTTCTATATATTATATCATAATATGTTATATCTTGATATATTGTTATATGTAATCATATATAATAGGATAAAAGACAATATAATATATTTATATATTAATTAATAATGAACTTATAAATATCTTTTGAAGAGACTGACTAAAAATTGTGCCACTAGATTCAAGCCTAGAGACATATGGCACTTCTCATAATTCACTGCATCACCCTGGGGTAGCCTACAGCTCCCACACTTGTTGGTGAAAAGACGCTTAGACTCAGGGGATGACCAGATTTCCTTCTCTATTTTCATATTTGTTTCAAAATTAGAAAAGGTTCAAAACAAACCTGGTAAAAACAAGAACATACTGGAGCTCAATTCACATTTTCTTCTCTGTGTCAACAATAGATGTAAGTCCCCAGGGGACAAGCTACTTAAGGTGCAGTCACTGTGCTATTTAAAGTCTGATTTTCTCTTTTATCTCCAAAACCTTCTGCCCTTAGTGTTTACACTGGGGCTATTATACGCACGCAAATCTGCAGACTAACAATTTTGCAGAGAGCATGAAAGCATTCTCCCTCACACCCAACCTGGTGAAGTGAAAGAAAAAAAAATACCCCGTATCTGAGGAATATTTCTTTCCCTGATGGAAAGTTTCTATACATTGTGACCAGCTATTACATACTGTAAAGTATTTTGCTGAATCCTGTATGACACTAAGTTCTGTGAAAGTCAGATTAAAGGTCAAAAGTCAGGGGTCATTTAGACCAGACAGCTACCTGTTTGACTGTGAGACTCTTGTCTCCTTTAATGCTGGGGATATCTGGATGTGGGGTAAAGAAACCCTCAAGGGTATCCAAGAATATGTCTGACTTGAGGTATTTTGCCTTTGTTAGCACAAGTAAGAAAACTTGTTCATTCAAAATATAACCATAGCCAAAATACTACCGGAGACAGAGCCTGCCCAGACAAGCACAGTCAGCTATTCCTCTGGAGGCAGACGAGGATGAGAGAGAAGAGGAAAGCCAACTATTTTACTGTGCAGTTTCTTTGTCTGGAGCGGTTAGAACTATGCGTTAGTGTTGTATTGAGTACAAAATACCAAGGAGTTAAAAAGGAATGAGTTCTTTTTAAGTACAATTCAGTTAGCCAATGGGGTGTGTGTGTGTGTGTGTGTGTGTGTGTGTGTGTGTGTGTGTGTGTGTCTAGGCTACTCTAGTTAGCCAGCTTGCTCTGGGTATTCAATGCTACCCGTCCTATGTGCTGGGGTTCCAGGTAGACTATCATGCTCACCCGGCTTTTATGGGAGTGCTGAGAATCCCAACTCTTTTCCTGCTGAGCCTTCTCCCCAGCCAAATTTTTTTCTAAGGTAGAGCAAAGAGGTCATGGGAATGTAAAGCCATTCAAGGAAGAGTAAGTAACCGTTAAGACATGAGATCAAGGCAACGACCAAAACTCATTTAAAGTAAAAACCTAGGGTGGGAGAGAGATCTCAGCCAGGAAAAGCTAGGCTCACAACCAAAATAGAGTTAAAGATAAAAACAAAACAAACAAACAAACAAACACAAAAACCAGGCCTATACTTGTAGTTATAGTGTCCAAATACACAAGAACAGAATTCCAATACTGGGCTATGTCATTTTTATTAAGATTGATGGAGGGGAAGGAATTCTCAATTATTTCATTTTAAAGAGTTTAAAGAAAGATGTGGTTATTGTTATTATTACATTACTATTGTTATTAGTATTGTTGTGTGTGCGCGCATATTGTCATGATCAGAGGATAACTTGTGAGAGTCAAGCCCTCTCCTTCCACCATGAGGGTGGAAGTGGTCATTTAACTATTTCTTACATCTTGAGAAACAATTTAAAGCTGAACTTTCACTTCGAGACCTACCACCCTCCCTCCCTTCCCCTCTTCCTCCTCAATCTAGAATCCGCCTGCTCAGTCTCCCAAGTACTGAGATTATGGCTATGTTCCTACGTTCCTGGCCTGTCTTTCTTGAATGTGAATATTTCCATGGTTCTTGTGTTAGTACGTGAATAAAATCTGTTTAAAGAAATGTTTTGTTTGTCTGTTTGTTTGTTTGTTTTAAAGAAACAGTCTTAGGTAGTCTGGCCTTGTGCTTGCTCTGTAGCCAAAAGTGACCTTGAAGTTCTGATCCTTCTGCCTCCACTTCCCAAATGCTGGGATTAGAAACCACGAACCACCATGCACAGTTTGTGTGATGCCATCATGGAGCCCAGGGATGCTCCATGCATGCTAAGAGTACACTCTGCTCACTGAGCCACAGTTTCAGCTTGAATTTAATCTTCTTTCATGCCCTTGTTACCCTGTGGTCTTTGCAAAGTCCCTGCTACAGGGAACTGTCAAACAAAATTCTGGTTCCCGAGCACGGTCACCTCACCGCTCCTTGAAGTCACAGCATGGTAAAGCTCAGAAGGCACATGGGGACAGGTTTTCAGAGGGAGGACAAGCGCTGTGCTGTGCAGTGTGAGACGGGGCATTCCTGAGCACAGCTGCAAGAGAGGGAACTCACAGGCCTCATTCTCTCTCTCACTGCCTCATCCGTGTGGAACGTGTATAAATTCAAATTAGAACGGATTTGGGCTTCATTCATCTCAACCACAGCTCTTCCACTTCGTGCGGGCAGGTTTATAGCTGCGGCGGCCCTTGGACATAATCAGGAATGTGTGCAAGATTTGAAGGAGATGTTCCAATTAGAAACAGTAAAAACTTCCCCTGTTACCTCACAGCTCACTGCTTTCTGCTAGCTACTTTTCAGCAGACAAAAATTATAGTGATATTTCTTGGGTGTGAAAAAAAAAAAAAACCAGCTTGAAAGCATGATGCAGACCACTGAGATGGCTCAGCAGGTAAAAGTGCTTGCTGTCAGTCCTGATGACCTGAGTTGGATCCCTGGAACTGGCGTGGCGGTAGGAAAGAAGAGACTTTGCAAGTTGCCATCTGACTTCCACATGCGTGCCCTAGCTCACACACATGCACCCTCCTCCACAAAAATAAATGTAACTAAAAATATCTTAAAGCACACATTTTTCTTTTCCTTTCATAGCTGACTAGTTACCATTTGCTGAACTTTAACTTTACATCCTTCCTTTCTGGAAAAGCATTACTATTCAAAGTGAACTCTCACAGACAATATGACAAAAGTCTAAACGGGTATGATAAATTTGTTTGGTTTTGTTTATTTGTTTGTTTTTCAGGGCACAGTTCCTCCGTGTAGTGCTCGATGTCCTGGAATTTTCTCTGTAGACCAGGCTGGCTTTGAACTCACAGAGATCCACCTGCCTCTGGCCCCTGAGTGCTGGGATTAAAGGTTTGTGCCTCCACCGCCTGGCTATAAATTTGTTTTTTCAAATGTGTTGAGACTTTTCCTCAAAGGTCAAAGACAGATTTGTAAATGTGAGCTCATATGAATTGTCTAGCAAGTGGTAACAATAATCATGAGGCAGTTTTTCAAAATGAAAAAGGACTAAATGAAAGGGTGGGGCAGTTGCCCATCAGCACGGCACTTGCCTGGCATATACAGGGCTTTGGGTTTAATCCCAAAAGACTAAATGAAATGTGATTTTGTGGGGGGAAAAGTGACAAAGTTGATCTTTCCTAATAAAATGATGACTCCTTCGTTTCCTCATTACTTTCTATGTTACACAGCATGAATCTTGCAAGAGACCCTTAAGCACTCAAATCGCATTTTTTTTTTTTTGTCACTTAATCTTTTGATTTTCAGTTTATTCTCACATCAAACACCCACCAGGAACCCAACCTAATTCTTCCCAGGCTTCTCATCCCAAGGCTGCTGGGAAATCTGATCCTCACAATGTAACCAGTGGTCCCCAAATCCTCTAACATCAACTTCCCCACTTCACTCAATCCTGGATCAATGCCCTTCAGCCCGGTGGAGTCACTGACAAGGGACAGATGCTGCAAAAGAAATAGGGCAAAAGAGGCTGTTCTCTGTCCGACGCTGCTGTCTTACAATATGTTTGCTTTGCTACATGACTTGTGATGGAAACTGCAAGAAAGCCAAGGATTGGACAATGAGTACCTGCTGTTTTAAACCAGTAAAGTAGAAGAGCTAGTTCTGTTAGATTCAAAGACTAAGATTAAGATGGTAAGTAGTCTATGGTGCTCTTTCTAGGACCTCATATGAGTGTCTACGGAAATGACAAGGGGACTTATATTCAGCAGAAATAGTTTCCACATTTTAAAGTTTGGGGACTTTCTGAGTTTTTGGTTTTGTTCTGTATTTTATCTGTTTCAGAACTTGACAAGGCTGCCTTTCTTAGTAAAGAGGGATTAAGCAGGGCCCAACTAATCAAGTACCATGTACTCTGAAAAGTCACTAGCTTTTTCTTGCTTATGTGTGTCCTCATCTCCCATGTAAACTAGCAGCACTGAGACTGGACCCTCAGGATCATATGGCATCATAAACAGTGTAAAAGACCCCATTTCAAACAGCTGATGCACTTTCGTGCGTGACTGCCAGCCACAGCCTTTCACAGGTGGACCATGGTTGAAAATTCTACCTCTCAAAACACGAACTGTAAATGAAGATACATAGAAACCCAATGAACACCAATAACTACGTGAAAAAAAAAATAAACTTGCAAGTGATGTGCCCTTGGCTGACCTGTAATTCAAGCAAATTCTTAGTCCAGAAGTCTTATTGGTAAGTGACGGTCAAAGTCCTTTGCAATACAGCTGTGTGAGCTCACCTGAGATTGTGCATTGACATTCGCTCCATTCGTAACCAAGACCTTGACCACTTCCGCTTGCCCAGCCAGAGATGCGATGTGTAAGGCTGTGTTTCCTTTCTGTGAAACGAGAGGCAAGATCTATGAGCTCACAGCCTGCTCAGTGCCTCTGTGGCGCAGAGGTGATGGGGCTGATGACCAGCGTGAGAATGGTACCCTTCTTACTGGGGGTTGACCCTTTACAGAACTAGGCAGGTAGCAGCCAGAACATTGAGCCCACGACACTGACCTTTGTGGCTGCATCGACGTTGGCTTCCCTCCGTAGCAGCTCAGAGACCACGTCCACGTGGCCTTCTTTGGAAGCAAGATGGAGTGCATTCAACCCGTTCTGATGGGAAGTGAAAAGAAAGCAAATTGAAAACAATGTTCTCCACAGTCCACAGCCCCCCCCCCCCCAGGCTCCTCAGATATGAAAACTGGGGAGGGCGGCCCATTATTTACTAAGTATTGGGAGCCAACAGCCACTATATTCCTGCAGTCCCTGGCATCCCTTTGACAGAGACTAATACGATAAGACTGGGCTGACGCAATGTAATGACAACAAAAACCAACCTCCCGACAAATTGAGAAAAACCTCGCTAATATTTAACAAACGCTTTCAAGGGATCTGAGAGCTCTAAGGAAAGCACCCAGCAACTACGAACCACAGCTGACCTGGTTGCAGATGTTGATGTCCACTCCATTTTTGATGTAGTCAAGGGCCTTTTCCAGGTGCCCTGCCCGAGCTGCTCTCAAGTAACTTGCGTTGGCATCAGACTATAAAAAAAAAAGAAGAAGAAAAAGCACTGTGATGACAAAGATTGCCAAGATACCTGGTACAGCTACATGACCAATGATACAAAGCAAGGGGAAAAGCTACCAGACTGTTTTAATGCTGGTATGGAAAACACTAATAACATTTTCTAACAAGTCAAGAGGAATAGGGCAAACTCTTTGGCCCAGAGGTTAAGAACACTGGCTGCTCTTGCAGAGGATCCAGGTTCAAGTCCCGGCCCCCATATGGTAGCCCACAACCATTTTTAACTCTGGATTCAGAAGATCCGATGCTCTCATCTGGCCTCTGGGCACCAGGCACACATACTGAGCACATACTGACATGCAGGCAAACACACATCAATAATAATAATAAAAAAAGTTCAAAGCACAGAGATTTATCCCTTTTGAGATATCCTAAATTATGCTGAATTGAGATGAATAATTTCTCATGAAATGTGGCCACCTTAAATCAATACACAGTCTCCAAGGAAAACCCTACAGTGTCCTGGGCAGCACATTAGGAGGAGCCAGCTGCTCTCTCTCTACCAAAGTCCACCACTGATTCCATTTTCCCGTGTTTATCAGAGCCAATACCTCGCTTGATAGCTTCCCAATGCATGGGGCACATTTTCTGTTTCCACACTTCCTCAGTGGGCTGCTAAGTTTTCAGTTACTGACTTCCCATGCTTAAGGTACACCCTAACTTGTGCTAAGAGCATGCTTTTCTCCATGAGAACCATGCAGCAAAGACACAAAGTTTCTAAGTGTTCTCAAGCTAGTTGAGGCCGTAGCCTGGAGAACTCTCTCAGGAATAGTATACGTAAATATAACAGAATAAGATGGCGCTTCACTCTCTGAAAATTTGTGTCTGTGAAAACTACCTGTTTCTAATGCCAACGAAGGCCGGGAAAGCTACCTGCAGTGAAAGAGGAGAATGGGACGGTGGAAAGAAACCGTTGCAAAGACAGGCCTGCAACACGCAGGAAGGAGCCTGTTGGGTGCAAGTCAACCAAAGGCAGGTTCGCCTGAAACTGGATTTAGAACTATCTCCCAGCCACTTTGAAATGCAATCCAGAGGGAATGGCTTCTAGGGGGAGTACGTCTTCTCAACAAACAATGACCACCTCCTTCAAAGGCCCTCGTCGAACACCTCTCTATCAGTGGAGCCTGGTCAAGAAGCTTGGGGCCCCCAACAAACACATGCATTCCACCTAGTGCTGGACACTCACTACACAAATGCATAGCTTTAAAAATAACCGTCCTTCCTCCAGATGGAACCGTAAGCCCATTCAGAACAAGTAGGGGAATATTAGGAGGCAGGTGCTTGGAAAGCTACCAGGATGGCAGTCTTTGAGAAGCATCTGTATATGCCCGGCATTGGAGCCAAGATGAAGAAAGTTGTGACCTGCCAAAGGGGTTTGGTTCTATGGTATGAATAAGGGAACACTGACTTGCTAGCGCCCTCCCAAGAGAGGCCACTGGTCCCAGGGTCGTGATCACCCTCATCTGTGTCACAGTAAGCCTCACTCTGGGGGGATATCCCTTATTCGTCACTTCTATTAGCATTTTGATTTGAGTGGCCCTTCTGTCCGGCCCACTCTGATTACCGTCCAAGGCATACCCACTTCTGTGCCCTATGCCACTAACACCCCTTTGTGATGATGTTCTCAGAATTGGTCCAGAGGGCCAAAATTCTCAGAAAAAGCAGCAGGCAATTAATACAATGTTTTACTTTAAGACTAACCCTAAGGAGGTGTCCATCTTGGGCCCTTCTGGGTTGCCATATGCGGGAAGACACCCCTGTGGGGGACACCTATCTCTCTATTTCCTTTTAGCTAGCAGCAACCTGGACATACAAATTCCTGTAAAGGTTTTTTGACTGTATCAATTAATACACACATTGTATAGAAGTAACTAACAATTAAATTTATTTTTAGAACAATAAAAGAGGCTTCTGTGGCTGTAACAGCTGCAGCCATACAATTTGGCTTGGGAGTCTCCTATGACACCAAGATGGATACCAGAAATCAAACACAGTGTGACAAAGCTAGGGTGTTCTGAAAACACTATGCTAATATCAGAGGGTTGGTGTCTTCAGCGATGAGTGGAAGTTAATGAATTAATTTTCTTCTTTTCACTATCACACACTGTATTGGCTAGTCTTATATCAACTTTATACACAAAACAGAGTTATCTGAAAGGATGGAACCTTAATTGAGAAAACGCCTCCATAAGATCTGGTTATAGATGGGGGAGGGCCCAGTGCATTGTGGGTGGGGCCATCCCTGGGCTGGTGGTCCTGGGTTCTGTAAGAAAGCAGGCTGAGCAAGACATGGGAAGCAAGCCAGTACGTAGCATCCTTCCACGGCCTCTCCATCAGCTCCTGCCTCCAGGTTTCAGCCCTGCTTGAGCTCCTGTCCAATGAAGGACTACGACCTGGAAGCCAAATAAACCCTTTCCTCCCTAATTTGCTTTCAATCATGGTATTTCATCGCAGCAATAGAAGCCATAACTAAGACACACCGATAGTCAACCCTGTTTATCCCAAGATATATGGATCTATTCTGTTTATTCACATATATGGACTCACGTACCTGGGGATCAAGAATAATTTTTAAAAATGAGGGGCCTGAATAGGTATACAAGGGTGGGTTCACATTTATTTTGTGACTTTTCTTTATTCTTAGATAGTACTATATAACAACCACTTTCATAGCATTAACTTGATACTACTTTATTACTAAAATCAAATCTGATGCAAGCCATTTACACAGGGTAGTTAATGAGCGAGCAAGTGAGCAAGAGAGAGAGAGAGAAAGAATGAATATTGTTAGAGTTCAGATCAGTTGAACAGTTCACAGGAATTCAAGGAAAAACTGCAGTGTGTAAGGAGATCTTCTACTGTGGGCAGGTGGGCTTTTACAGTTCAGACAGAGCCAGCTGTGCAAGGCTGGCTCACTGTACAATAACCTCTGACCCCTGCGCCTGCGTGATGGCTTATCAGTTCATGCACATGGAAAGGCTGTGCTTCTGTACTGGGGATGGAATGCCTGCACAGCTCAGCTGCCAGAGGCAGGAACTGGGAGCTACGCATACGGATTCTAACTCGGGTACCTAAAAACTGCAGCTAAGGAGGCTAAAAGGAGGTGTGATAATTCAAGGAAAAGAGCCTCTGAACTGATTCCAGATTTTAAAAAGAGCTGGCATTTCTGTACTTGGCCCATTTTCCTAAAAAAAAAAAAAAAAAAAAAAAAAAAAAAGGCTTACCCAAGATTCTAGAGCAAAACACATACACAACTAGTTTGATACAACTCTTCTAAGCCTTTTTTTTTTTTTTTTCAGTTAACCTATCTGAGGCATGAGTTCTTGTGAGAGTAGTAAAAGTTACCGACTGTTTTCCTTCAAATACTGCACACAGTCAACCTTTATCCTAGGGGTTTCGGTACCATTTGAAACTGTGTATGCTGAATAGATATAGTGTTTGTGGGGTTTTTTTTTTTGCATATGTTTTTGCATATAGGATTTTCTAATATAAAAGTTATTTACACAGCATTTATGTGACATTAGGTAAGAGTAGTCTACCTAGAGCATGTGGATGCTTCACACGGGTTCTATGCAAATAGTATGACACTTATGTAAGGGACTTGAGTACCCATGGAGCTCAGGATGGGAAGGGGTTGGGTATCTTGGAAACAATCCCCTTTAGGCACCATGAGCGGGCTGTCCATGCTGCATATGGATGTATCTCAGGAGGCTAGGGTTTTGTTTTCGATTTAAAAACTCATGTTATATTGATGACATACTCATTAGTACGGCTAGTGAGACAGCTCAGTGGGTAAAGGGAACTTTGCAACCAAGCCCGACAACATAAGTTCAATGCCAACTTCCTGGGGTTGTCCTCTGACCTCCCACACATACACAGTGGCGTGTGTGACCCCACCCCAAACAAACAAAATGAATCTAAGACAAAACGTTTCTTCCAAACATGTCTTTCAGCGAGAGACCCTGGTAACTGAGTGGTTCTTTGAGGCAGTTTATTCACAGCCTCGGACTGTCAGGAAGAGACAAGAGCTATCTTCACTGTTCCCAGCTCTTGGTCACACACAGCACCCTCACCACTGTCACAGGAGAGCAATCAGCTTCTATATATTCGAACATGGAGGGGATGAGTAATGAGGGAAGAAACCAGAGAACAGGAACAAAGACAGCCCTGAAGAAAAGTTATAAAACCCAGGGCCCGGGAGTTTCTCATTTTTCCCCCTTAGCCATCTGAAAGCAACTCAGTACATCATCCTGCCTCACATAGGTAGTGAGCACTGATTGTGAGCGAGCTGCCTGCCACACCACTACCTGGGATGTACAAAGGAGGGCAATTTACCTTCATCTCAGCATCTTTTGCTCTCTTCCAAGTCATCTTGTATGGGCAGCAGAGTACAACAGCTGACCCTGAACTTGATGCCACAGCCTGATAAGCCCATCATAAGCTAAAAATATTGCCACTTGGAAATGATATATGTAATCTACCATACATCCTGGGTTTAGCAGCATGGTGTCCTAGCAACACAGTTTCTTAGCAACACAGTGTCCTGGGGAATACCCAGTGGATTACCCTGGTGAATCAAGTGGCTGAGTGGAAGCTGTGGTTCATTGCCGTTGTGTTTTAAGAAAGTGCTATCAGGCAAGCAGCTAGCCCAGAAAAAGACCCAAATTCAATGCTGTAACTTTCATCTCTGCTGATTGTATATAGCTTTTTGCATCCTCATAGACTTGAAAAATGGTGTTAGGTATGTGATCCTTTGTCACACCTATATATTATTGCTTTCTTAACATGAAGAAACTCCATAACACTCTATAATAGGCTTACTATCCCCTGTAAACTCTTACCTCCTCAGATAACTAGGCTTAACCTTAACATAAGCTATAGGCTCTTTCCTTCTTCCTTCCCTCCCCCATCCCTGCTCCTTCCTTCCCTTCTTTCTTCCTCCCTTCCTTCCTTTCTTTCTCTGTCTGTCCATCTGTCCACCTATCCATCTGTCCTTCCTTCCTTCCTTCCTTCCTTCCTTCCTTCCTTCCTTCCTTCCTTCCTTCCTTCCTTCCTTCCCTTCCTTCTCTTGGTTACTCTATCTGAACAATGCTCCTTTACATGTTATATTTAAATAGACATCTAAAAATGGCAGCTGACAATGTTCATGGAGGGAAGTGAGGTAGAAAGAGAAACTCAAGTCTCCTGAACAGCTAGCTACACAGAGGAGAACACTGCTCATAAAGACAGGAATCAGAGATGACTATAAACAGGCAGGCAGCACTGGCTTTTCCTCAACCACCAAAATCTAAGGGACAATGTGAAGCTGAAAATCTCTCTTGACATAGTTTAACATTTTGGTTCCTTGGCCATCGTTTAGGACAGGAAAGGAAGAGGAATCATGTGTCTTTTGTCAAGGAAACAGCTTCAGGGACAGAAACACCTGGTGTTCCGATAGTTGGGTCTAGGCTGTGGATCACCACCCTAAGAATGGGCTTCATCTCGCCTAGCTAATTATGAGCTAAGTAATTATATCAGGTGTGTGTGGTGCTTTGTGCCCATGATCTCAGCACTTGGGAGTTTGAGATAGGAATATATATATATATATATATATATATATATATATATATATATATATAGAGAGAGAGAGAGAGAGAGAGAGAGAGAGAGATAGGAGGAATGCTCTGAGGTTGAGTCAAGCCAACCCTACAGCATGAGATCTCATCTCAAAAAAAAAAAACCAAAATCAAACCAAACCAACAACAAAAAGCCTCAACAAAACAAAATTAAAGAAACAAAGCAAATGCACCAATGTAACAGTTTACATTTCTGTGATTTGGAATTGCTGATTGTGAACCCATTTTCTTTAGGAATGGCTTTGCTAAGGCTGCCATAGCTCAAGAGGAACCTGAGCTTATTTCTGCTAGAAATAAGCCAAGAATAGTTAGAAAACAAATGCTTGCCCTGAGGGTTGTTTGTCTTATGGACTACAGAGGTGAATTTTTATGTCAAACTGATAACAATGTGAGAGACTCCTGAGGGTTACAATCCTCAGGGGAGAAGTTTCTTTTCCTTTTGGCTTGTACAAAATGGAGTCAGGCTTGCCCTTCTATTTTCTCTTTGACCCGTTTATCTTCTGTCCACCTTGTCATTGCTGTTCAGTATAAGTACTCAATAGAGCAGGAGCCTAGCACATATCCTAGACTTTGTCCCTTCCTAGTGTCCATGTAACTATGTGGTTCTTGCTTCCATGCAATGTTTGATCTTTGTAGTTCCTTTGCCTCAAAAGGCTGATTTTTTTTTTTGTCGTTTCTCCCAACATCTGAGCTTTCTCTACATCTGAAACTACACTCAACGACTTTCAGTCCTCCATTTACCTATCCTACTCCTTGGCTAGTCAGGCCATTGGCATAGGACAACCAGATCACAAACAACAACAACCAAACTGCCAACAAAACACTAGGTGTCAATAATTTGTCAGCAATGTGGAACAATCTTCACACATTCCCAGGACGTCACTTCTAGTTCTCAGCAAGTCATAACAAAGGCAATAGCCGCAACTGACCGAGGGCCTTCTGGGACAGGGACATAAAGAACCACTTTATATCTATGCTAATGATGCGTTATGAATTAATATATTTTCGCAGTTACCAGTCATTTCTGCTTTAACTTTTAAAGTATTTATTTATTTAGTGTGTGTTTGTATGATGTGTGTGGGGGGGTGCGTCACAGGGTCAGAAGTGTGGGGGAAAGGTCAGAGGACAAGTTTGTAGAGTGGGTTCTCTCCTTCCAGTTTTACATAGTTTCTGGGAATTGACTTCAGGTCATCACTAAGCCACCTTGCTGACCTGCCAGTCATTTCTTACCTATTAACCAAGAAAGGAATCTTAGCCAGGTAATCGTGGTGCACACCTTTAACCGCAGAGGCAGGGGGATCTCTGGGAATTGGAGGCCAGCCTTGTCTACAGAGTGAGTTCTGGGACAGCCAGGGCCTCACAGAGAAACCCTGTTTTGAAAAAAAAAAGAAGCAATATTTTTCTAAAAAGGCAAAAGTATTACAACTTGAGTGTCTTGACTAAGAAAACCTAGCCAATAAACAATCGGCAAGAACTGAAACGCCGGATCACAAGCCCACACTGTCTACATCAATGGCTTTCAAACTGGGATCTCGTGGCTCTGGGTCTGTGCCTTGGTGGTCGGTGGGGTAGGGGTGGGGATCAAAGTTCAGTAAGCCATTCTACAAACCCATCTTCAGTTTTCCAAGGGTATGTGCTTTTATCTGCTTCAACATCGGTGTTGAATAAATTTCCTTTGAAAAAGGTCTCTGTGTCTAACTTAGCGCCTTCTAGCCATTCAGTGAAATAATTTCAAAGGTCCTCAAAAACAGGCCCCAAACACATGCTTCCAATCTGATAAGACAGGGACACTTTTCTTGAAGGCAATCTAGAGAACTTATCATTCATGAACCAGCCCTCGAAGTTCCCTAACACTGCGGCCTCACCTAGAATCACCGCTCTGCTAACAGTGCCCATGGGTCCCCTGCACACCTCCTCCACAGAAGACCCTCCAACAGACTCACAAATGAAAGCCTAGGTCCAGCTCAGAGACGCCACAATTGTTACTTCAGATAAACGTTAGACTAGACTCTTGCTTTTTCTGGACCCGTGCAGTATTTTCTCTGGTCTGCTTAAGTACTAGCAGCTGTCCCATTGGGAGAGAGTGGAATCTTGTTGAAGGCTGCCCCTGCCTGCTAGCTTGAGGGTATAGTCACACAGACAATGAGAACTCACAGGTGAACCTGCAGTGGTAAATCAAAAAATTTCATCAGGAAGAGCTGTTTCCACAACTTAGATGTAAAGCTGGGGAAATCAGAAAAAGAAAGACTTCAGAGTGATGCTTGGTTGGAGGAGAGAGAAAAGAAAGGAAGATTATGTAGGATCCAGAATCTCTCTGGAAAAGAAGAAATGCCCAAAGGGATGAAAAGCAAAGCAAGCTGCAGGGAAGAGCTTCAATACACAGTACAGTAGACAGACTTTATCTCAAAGCTAGGAAGCTGTGAGGGGCGCTGAGGAGAGTCAGCATATAACCCATGCGTTATTCAAATAATCAGCAGTGAGAACAACAGAGGTCAAGCCGTCAACCTTCCATGCCTCAAGGTCCCCCCTGTCCTTCACCACAGAGTTCCCACCCCAGAGATGGAAACTCCATTTTTCTTAGATGAAGGCGGCTTAGTTGAGTCTGATGTGCATCCTAGGACAAGGGACTGGGAATCAGGTTATCATTCAGATACTGCTTTGTCAGTATTCACAGTAGCCAGAAAATAATATCAACCAGAGTGCCCATCAGTGAAGAAACAGATGAAAGAAACATGGTGTGAACACACAAAGGAATCCTCCTCAGCCATCAAAAATGCAGTGTAGACACATGGATGAATCCGAGAGACGTTAAATGAAATATGACAAAGACATATGCTACATGACCTCACTCACATGTACATTTATTCGAAGCTGGTCTAAAGTAAAGTGCCGGTTAGGAGAAGGTAGGGATGAATGCAGACGGAGAGACTAATTAGCAGGGCTCTGCAGCACGTAGAAGGAGTACATTCTGCTGAGCTACTGCGCAGGCAGGTGACTGCAGCTAACTGCACTGTGTGTCTCAAGAGACTGAAGGAGAGAGCAGGATGCGCTGTCACCACAGAAGTAATAAATAGTTAAGATGGCATCTACGACAGTGACCTTGACGTATCACTGAACAATGAACACATACACACAGACCTTACACAAATGTGTAAAACTATTGCCTTACCAAAAATTAAATAAGCATATGGTTATTAAGTAGGCTATGGATAACATGAGCTAGGGAGCTTTGAGAAGGCACCTGAATGGAAAAGCAAGGAGTGTGAAAAGTGTTTTGAAGGTGTTATTAATTTATATAAAAGAATATTAAGGTCTTTTCTAGGTGTGGTGCATACATTTCTAATCTTAGTGCTCAGGCTCTAGCTCAAAGCATACACATAGAGAGAGACAGAGACAGAGACAAAGACATACACACAGAGGGAGAGAGACAGAGACATAGAGAGACAGAGTGACAGAGATAGAAGAAGGAGGGATTAAATCTTAAGGCCAAAATTAAAGATTTAGCTTTCAAAAATATTTCAGTTTTTTTGTAGCCCCACTTTCCTCCATTCTTTTATTTGCCACTTTCCAAAGACAAAATTTACAACGAGGCAGTAAGGATATGAGCCTTTCTTATAGTGCCAAACTTTATTGATGAATAAAATAGCAGGTGTATAAATTATTCTCATCCAAGAAAAGGCTTACAGAGTAGGGCAGCCTACTTATCAAAACTTCCAATGTCATTGACAGCTTTGAAACATAACCTGGAGCAACTTT